TGTAAAAGTATTTTAAACTGTATAAAAAAAATTGAAATCAATTGTGAAAATCCATTCCTTATATAGGACGTTCTCTCATGTTAGATTATACTAATGAAAAGGAAGTGAATATAAATGAAAAAGAAGGAGAGCAAAAACTAGATGACAATGATGATAAAGGTGAGGAGGTGAAAAAAAATGACAATGATGGTGAGAGAGAAAATAAATCTGAGGGTATGGTTGATGATGTTGAAACTTCAACATCATCAAGTCATGAAACAAGCATCCCTGATCATTCTACATCAAGTTCCAAAACATTGAAGAAACGTAAGGAAATTGTAGGTGATGATGATAATGTGATAATTTTAATCATTTGAACTTTTAGATCAGAGGTTTGGAATATCATTCATTGTGGATTCAAGATAGTGAAACCAAAATGGTGCAATGATGAAGAGTATGCTGAAATTCAAAGTTTTACAAAACGCCCAAGTTTTAAAAGTCTTCCAAAGCACATTATTGAACTTTTGAAAGTAATATATTTTTTCCTTTTGTTATTTGCTTTATTCTTGCTTCATTTCTAAATATCATAAATTATAATATATAACACTATTCACATTAGAAATCATTAGGATCTTTAGGTTTTGAAATAAAAAAATTTAAATTAAATACAAATATTTATTTTCTGGAAGAAATTCCTAAATCAAAAGGAAATGACCAGTTCTCAGATGATTTGGAAAAGATCAGGTTAACTTTCTCAACACCCTATCCTGAGGATCCATTCACTACTTTCTTCATAAAAATTTTATCACTATTGTAAGTTTTGCCTATTTTTGCATTTGAAAATATTGATGTTGGTCTAATTATCTGCTAAAATTTCTGCCTGTAGACATAAATATGTTTTTATGGAAGATTCTATTTTACAAAAACCAGATATATCAGAAGCAAATTATGGAGGTTACTTAATACATCCTTGCTTAAAAAAATATTTGTTAGTTTAGAATCTTGTTGATATTATCACATGTAAGTAGCTTTTAATTTTATTTGATGTGATATTTGATGTTTTCAATAGATGTATATTGACCCTTTTGTTTAAGGGGAGAGGAGGTTTTATCATCAGTGTAAAGTCTTGCATAAAATGAAGAAAATGTAAAGATTCTTATGAACAAAAATCAGATGGAGTATTTTTTGTGAAATTAAAAAAAAACATTGATAGAAGTGGGCCACTTGGAAATGAGTGGAGGATACAAACATAAAGATATTCCTCGATCTACATGGGATGGTTGTTGCAAACTACCAATTGGGAATTCTTATATGTTAGAGGAAATTGGAGAGCAGTTTCGTAGTGTTTTTCCTGAAACTTTTTCAAAATTAAGAGTTTTTTCATTACACACTTACAGTAAACATTTATTTATTTAATTTTTTTTTCAATAGTAATAGTTTTTGGCTTAACTTCTACATTTTATAGAGAATTGGATTGAATTGTGGCAGATGCATAACCCAGCCTGTGGTGTTTTGCAATACGAACGATTACATAAATCAATTGTACCGATTTGTTACGAAGAACATCGTAGGCATTAAGGATACCGGCTGCAACTTTTGATGATGGTTGCTACCACCTTTGCATCATATAAAAGTGATTGCAACCGCCTTTACGACCATTTTGTTTCCTTTTTTGATTGTGACATGGAACACTAAGCCAGTTCATACATAAGCTCTAGTCATGATGTTTCTGTTCCCTAACAAATTCATTGGTCAGTTATCAAATATCAGCGGAAATGAATGACTGGTCATGCATGTTTCTGATTTCCAACAAATTCATTGGTCAGTTATCAAACATCAGCGGAAATGAATGACCGGTTATGATGTTTCTGATTTCTAACAAATTCATTGGTCGGTTAACAAATATCAACGGAAATGAATGACTGGTCATGATGTTTCTGATTTCTAACAAATTCATTGGTCGGTTATCAAATATCAGCGGAAATGAATGACCAGTTACGATGTTTCTGATTTCTAACAAAACCATCTATGCCACTGTTAATTAATATCTACGTCAACACACTTGATTGCATTGGAGGCACACAGGGCGTTACATTTTTATTTTTGCTTTAAGTTTCATGGTATATTTTTGCATGACACTTTTTGTGTTTTCAGGGTTTGCATGAACAAGTAAAATTGTTGGCTGAAAATATAAATTCAAATACTTTTTCATAATCAAGAAAGTTACTAAAAAAACTATTGATGAAAGTGATTGGTTTATTAAAACCCCCATCGGATATGGGCTTTAATATCAATATGTTAGTTACTAGAGAAATCATAGATTTTGAAAATTCTAATGAATCTGTTTAATTAAATTTTATAGTCTGTGTTATTTGCAAAAAAAAATCTACATTTATTAGATTTAGTGTTATGGCTTTCACCGCTTGTACTACGAGCCATTGTTGTTATTGATTGATTGTAATTCCTTTGTGTCTGCAAAAATTTTCTCTGTCTTTAAAATTGATAAAAAAATATATACCAAGTAATCGTGTGTTGTTATTATCAATCTTTTTTTCTATAAATAGGATGTAAAATAGATCAAATGGTTTCTATTTGGAAAAAATTTAATGATGAGTAATAATAGAAGCAGCATTTTGAGTGGAGGTAACAATAATTATAATTATGAAACAATACCAAACAGTTAGCATAAATTTATATTATAATATGATAGATATTAGATATTTTATTTAATTTAATTTTTAATTTTTCTAAATTATTTGAAAAAGATTATTCGATTGTTGATGAAATTGATAATAATAATGAAGGGAAGAAGGAGGGAAAGAATCTGATTGGAATGCATTTATTGGTTGTGTGTGAGTTTTATAATTATTATCATTACTATTAATAGTGAATAAGTACTATTAACTTCAATTTTTCAATTTCCAAATAATCACAGATGTATTGTGCAGGAGCAGGAACTTTGGGCATTCCCTATGCTATACAACAAGGTGGATGGATTACCATCTTGTTTTTGATTTTAACAGCTGTAATGACAACCTATGCAAATATAAAATTCATTGAATTTTTATACTACAATGGGTAACTATTTTGTTGTGTAATAATAATATCCAGTTAATTTCATGTATTTTGATTTTTTTAACATCTGAGTTTGATAATAATAGAAGCCATCATAAGAATCCAATGTCTGAATTAGCATATGATGCATTTGGTAGAGTCGGATTGGTGGTGGTTGAATTTTTCTCTAGTTATAAGTGTTGGCACACCAATACTTTATTTGATATTGATTGGTGATAATTTGCAAATGTTATTTTCTAAATTTGATTTTGGAATGAGAAATTTAGTGGCAGGTATAATATGTATTCCATACATACTATTAAAAACCATGAAAGATGTTGCATTACTGAGGTATGTGTGTTTTTAAAGAACTTTATTAATAAATTTTTAAAATTCAAAATTTTTCTAATTTTTTTCTAACCAAAAAAATTTCAGTCTTTTGGTTATTTTGGTTGTGGCGATAATTCCAATTATTGATTATCCTGATAACAAAGAGAACCTACATGATATAGTCATCATAAGGTATTTACCAATTTCACTTGAAACTGTCAGTTTTAGTTATGGTGGGAATATAGTTTATCCTTATGTTAAAGCAAAGTAATTAAATATTCAATCAATTCATTTGTGATTAATTGATTAATTAATTAACACTTTTCTGCTCCTTTAATTTATTTAGCATGAAAAAAACCACAAAACTGGCCAAAGTAATCTCATATTCAATGTTTACAATTACAATGTTATATATCTAATAATTGGATTTTTTGGTTATTTAACTTATGGAAATAATGTCAAATCACCAATTTATTTAAATTTACCTGATGGAATATTAAATAAACATTATAATAATATCAATAACACTACATGTGATATTTGCATTGCCAATTTATCAGACAGCATCCTCATTGGAATTAGAAAATTATTTTAATATCAACAAGAATAAATTGGGTCAACTATGAGAATTCATTTATTGGTCATTGTTACGTGTTGTAACTGCTGACATGGAAGTTTATATTGCAATATTGATACCTTATTTTGCTGATGTTATGTCATTATTAGGTGCATTGGCTAATGGCACATTATTGGTTGTTATGCCATTATTGTTTATGGTTGAGGTTTTTTTGATGGAGTAAATTGGAAAATAAAAATTGTGAAAAAGTTTGGATAATCTTTACTTTAATGTTTTTAATAACAATCACAATAATTGGAAGTTGTGATGCTATCATAATGACATTTATAAATAAATAAATTATAGCAAATAAAAATTATAAATTATTTAATTAACAATATATATATATATACACATATATATAGAGAAGGAAATATAATATATTTATTGTAACGCCTATAAAAAAATAAATTAATAAATTAATAATTCACATTGCAATATATATCTACCATATTATAATATAACATATTATCACATTACCATAATAGCATTAATAATATCGTTTTTGTTATTCTTTAGAGCTTTAACAGCTCTAGCACGAGAACAATTCTAAAAAAAAAAAATAAATGTATAAATAAATAAAGTTTTACTTTTCCAACCTCACAATTCATCCCTAAACCTCTTCTCCCTTTACTACTCCTTATTTCTATACTTACAGTCTGTTGCATAACCAATTCAATATCTTTAGCTTCTACATTAGTTTCATCAATAGCCGTTGAATCTTCTTCGATTGATTCTTCGACTTTAGCAATTTCTTTAGATGTAGTAGCAGCAGCAGTTGTAGTTTCAGCAGAATTTTGAAATTGTTGCGCAGCATTTGCTTGAGCTTGAGAATTGAGGTCTTCGGCCTTGGCTTCACCAAATACAATGTAACAATCAGAATTCGATGATTTGTAAACGTCAGCATTAGAAACAACGAAAAGCATCTAAATAATATATTAATTGATAATATTCAATAAATAAATAAATAAATAATAATTCATATGTTAACTAATTGATAATTTCAATCTTACATTTTTTGCTCTTTTGATTGTAACTCTAGTGATACCAGGAACAGGTACCAATCCCAACTTTTGCATTGCTTTTCGAGCTTTTTTTTCTCCACGAGTTTGATTTTTTGCAGAACCACCACTGCCACCGCCGCCAAGAATATTTTCAAAATTTAATGATGAAATATCAGGTGGTAATACTCCTTGTTCTTCTGCTAGCTCGGGCATATCATCATCGTCTAAATCTGAGTCCTCCCCACTTTCAACTGTTGCATTTTTTTTAGCAGTAGCGGTATCACCACTAGTGGTAATGGTGGCGGTGGTTGCCGATTTTTTATCATTATCATCTTGTTTTATACTTTCCTCTTCTACAATTTTACTATCTTTATTAGCATTTTCTTCGCTTTCTTGAATTATTGTATTATCATTATTTTTTTCTTCTGCTTTAATAGGAGTATCTGACATTATTACCAATTGTTATCTTGATTATTTTGAATTTATTTTTTTATACTTGAAAAATTTTTTTTTCATAATTTTTCTTTTGATGATGTTGATCAAACCTCCAAAAGTCGTGACTTTATTCCTGTGTAACATCTACATTTCATGTTTTTAAGAAATGGTGACCACAATCATGTGGTTTCTGCAGGATAATAATAATAATAATTATTATTATTATTATTTCTGTTAATAAATTCTTACTTTGCCTTTTGCAAGTTGGATTATTATCCTTAATTTAGAAAGAGAAAACACCTTCTAAATAAGAACTTTGGTTTGTAATTACAAATTAGTCATCTTCTCATTGTATCAATGTAATTACATGAATCTTTAGTTATTCAATGATGAGCATTGGAAGTAAGTTGCTTGCCGAAACCTCTTAGTGACTGTCGAAAATCTGTCGAAACTCTAATGAACAATTAGTATATATACTTTGTCAAAACTCTGACAATTGACAAAATCCACAAATGCGAAACTCTGCCGAAACTCTAATAAACAATTAATGTGTAACCTATAAAAATTCTGTTTATTGATTCCTGGAGGTTTCGCCCACAACCTTAATTGGATAACATCAAATGCTACTCTAATTTGAGAAATATCTATTTTCACATGCGGTAATTATGTGGTTCTTCGGTTCATTTGTGCACCTTTGCGATGAACTGCGAATGTTGCTTTAACTCGAATTGGTAAGTCGTGGTCTGTGTTGGGTAATACCAAGATCTTTTTTGACAAAAAAGAACGTGCGCGTTTTTTATTGAAGTGCCGGCCAATCATATTGAAGATTGGGTAAAAAAGAAGGTCAAATTCCACATCACATAAAGCCAATAGCAAATTATTTTATATACTAGAAATCCAATGCTTGCATCTATATACACGAGCACAAAGTTTTATGATGAATGATTTTCCAGCGCCCAAAGATTTGCCCATCCATCCAAACAACCATTTACGTTTATTGTTCATTGCAACAAAATCAATTTCTTGCCTGTTAGAATCCTATATAGATAATAATGATCGAGTCCAAGCCCCAACCAATTTCACAAAATCCCTTAACCCGTGTCCAAATTTTTTGTTGATTCTTTAACATTTGCTGGAATTTCTTTTCTCAAAAATGGAGTAATTTTTGACTTGTCACAGGAATGCCTTTGTAAATTTGAAATCTCATTTGTATAACTATCATAATTATTACAAGTAACGCAACCAATAACCTTGTCATTTGAATCTACTAGTTCAGCACCCTGAAGCTATTTTAAATGAAAAAGAGAATGTACGAGCTTTAAATAATTTGGCTTTTTTATTATTGATTATATAATTGGTGTTTGTTTTGGTAGTTACTCTACCATTAAATAAATAATATAATTTTTTTTGATTGTTGTCAACACAGATTTTAACATTATAAATAAAGATTTTCCAAATATTCCAAAATTGGAATTTGTTTTACTCCTTTAATAATTGTTACTGAGAGAAATACATACTATGTAATATTATTAGAAACTATGCTTTACCAAAAATAAGAAGATCTAATTTAAGCGATTAAAATAGGGTAAAACTTGTTTATTTTGTATTTAAATTGTTAAAATTTTTTACTGATGGGGAAAAATAATTTTTTTCATTCAATTCATAAATTAATTTCATCAATAATCATGATAAAATCATCAAAATATTATCCCTTAATGCATTTATTGTTGATTTATTTAATTGTAAATTCATTATTGATCAACGCCAATGAATTGAATTATTTAAGCAAACCATTGGAAGTTGAACGCGACAATCCAAGAGTTAAAAATATCATAGTAGGATCTTTTATTGGAGGTGCATTGTATTATTATTATTATGATTATTATTATGGTGATTATTATTATATTAAAGAATATATATTAATTTAGGATTGAGTCATTTAGCACCATTGCTAGAAATATCTAAAATTTTAGTTGAACGTGGTTATAATGTTTGCAATAAATTAATTTTTTAATTCTGTTTTTTCATAAAAAAAAATTTATACCAATCCACTTTTTTTTTTTTAGGTTACATTGATTTCTCCTGAAAATAATCATTATACTAAATATGAAAAGATTAAACACTATTCTACAGGACCGAAATTTGATTTCAAAGATATTGCTGGTTGGAAAAAAATAATGTATGAAGATCCACCCTCTATAATGAGCTTTTTCCCCAGTTATTTTGAACATGCATATAGTCTTTATTTAAACAGTTATTATGTTTACGAAAGAGTGTTCAATGAGTTGAAACCAGATTTGTTCTTGTGTGATTTGATACAGAATGAAGTGTGTTTAGATGTGGCTTGGAAATTGAAGAAACCCGCAGTTAATTTGGGAAGTTCGTTATCAAGTTAGTAAAAAAATAATTAAATAATTATTAATATTAATAACACTGTTAAAATTGTTTTTATTATTATAGGAGTTCATGGAATCCCGTATAAATCTGATCCAATGTATGGTTGTAAAGTAAATCTGGAAAATGAATCATTTTTAGAAAGACTTAGATGTTTTGTAATTCCAAAGTTCGAGGTAGTTTGGACAACTCGCTCTGCCATTTCACATTTAAATGAATTAAGAGCCAAATTAGGTATCTCCCCTACAAGTCATCCATATGCAAGAATTAAAAACAAATTATTTTTGGCTGATACATTTTTTGGATTTGATCTTCCAACACCATTATCACCAGTTTATACGGTAAACTCATTATTTTCTTTTGATTTTATTTTCAAAAAAAAAAATTAAGTTAAATTATTTGTACTAGGAAATTGGACCTATATTGTCAGATAATTATCCACCATTAACACCAGAAGTGAAAACATTTCTAGATAACCATCCACGTACAATGTTTATATCACTTGGCACATTTGTATATACTACAAAAAAAAATATTGGAATATTATTACAATCATTTATTGAAGCAACAGAGAATGGTGTGATCGATGGTGTGATCTGGGGATTAGCAACTGTAGGAGTTGAAGAAATACCTGAAACCATAACTTTATCAAATGGCAAAGAACTCAATACAATGTATATAATCAACAACCAACATCCAAATATTCAAATATTATCATTTGCACCACAATTCTCAATTTTGGCACATGAGAATTGTAAACTGTTTTTAAGTCATGCTGGAGCAGGCAGTAGCCATGAAGCTATGTATAATGGTAAACCTATGTTGGTGATGCCAATTGCTCTTGATCAACATGGAAATGCTGAAAGACTGGAAAATATGGCTGGTGTTTCTTTGACTTTAAGCAAGACAAAGTTAAATGTTAAAGAAATTTTAATAAAAATCCGACGATTATTATCTGAAGAGAAATTTAAGATAAATAGTGAAAGAATGAAATCCTTGACTAGAATTAATAGTAAGAGAAAACATAGAGCTGCTGATTTGATTGAACATGTGATTAAATCAAATGAATTAAAGGAAAAATTAATCAGTAACATCAGCAATAATAATTCTAGTGATAATAATAATGGTGAGATTGATAGCACATATTTAAATGAATGGATCTCACCTAGCACAAGAATGGGATTTATCAAAGGAAATTATTTAGACATTTATCTTGCTTTATTTGCAATAGCATTAGTTATTCTTGTAATTAGTATCTTCACAATTTATAAATTAATTCATTTGATTTTTGTTAAATTTTTATTCAATCTAGTGAAAAATAAATTGAAAAAAGAATAATTGACTTTTATAATAATAATTTTTTATTGATTCTTCTTTTTATAATAAACATGTAAAATTTTTAGCAAAAAAAAAAAAATATAAATACATAAAATTGATGGAAAGAAAATAAATCCCATCTTTTGATTTTGCAACTTTTTTATACTATTTATGACAGGGTTGTGCAATTTCTCTGTACGAGAAGAATCTTCGTACGTACCATTGAGTTCGTACAGTTTCGTTGTGGTCGTACACCTGTAAGAGGAATTTTTACATATGTACGTACGTACGAATGTACGATGTATCAGGAACGATGATTTTCTGCGGTGACAAAATATTACTTTGTAAAATTCTATAATAATATTATTATTAAACCGATAATCCTATTACTATAATTAATGGATTACCAGATGTTGTAATTGGGGCCGTAATACTACTTCATTATCAGAAAAAACTGATTATCATGTTATATATGCTTATTTAAATCCTTGTTACTATGTAGTAGTATTATATACATTATTATTTTTCTGTGGTAATAAAATATTATTTTGTAAGTCCTATATTATAGTTCGCTGTGACAAGGTTTGACGAATTTAACATATATATATCAACCAATAAAAATTATCAAAAATCACATGATATGTTCGTACAATGTACTAAAAAATTTAAGCTCATACGTACGTACGTGTACGAGATCTAAAGTTTATATGTATGACAATATTGCTGCAAAACCAGACGAAGTGTTGTCAAGATTTCAGGGTTCAAATACTCTAAGAAAGTCTCCCAACACTTCTTCAATATCAATTTATTTAAACATTCAACTTCAAGAATATTATAAAAAAAACAAAACTTCAATAAAATAAACATGAACTTTTGACATTTACAAAAATGTTCACTTTCACCACTGAAATTTATTTGTGGATTATTAATCGGACTTTTGCTTATGGAAAAAATAAAAATAAAACAAGTAAAAAAGGTGGTGAAAAAAAAAATACGCGAAAGAAATTGAAAGACTTCACACAAATGAAAGGAAAAAATTAGAGAGAGAAGAGGGGAAAATGGGGGAAGGAGGTTTTGGAGTGTAGGAAGGCGTTACGAAGAATAAATGAAGGTAATGAACAAATTGCATAAAAATACACAAATTATTTTCCATTCATTACATTCGCTTATTTTATTTATTCATTTGTGAGTATGAATAATACATATTTATGGGAATATTTTATATTTTTTACTTTTGCTATTACTCTTGTTTACACAACAGATGAATATTCTTTTCTTGTAATTACCACATTTCCCGACCAACTTCTCTTATTACATATCTTGTTTGTTTATTTATTTAAGACTTTTAATATACTGCTTATTACTTTAACTAACTTATGCCTTTTAAATTTATCTTTTTCTAGATCTTCCAAGCCAAAAAGAAGTGCTGTTTGCTTTATTTGCCACGAATTTCCGATATCACATCTGATACGGTGAAATTAACGACAAAATTAAAATGTCTGCTGCTGTCATAAACCTGAGGTAATTGTAAAATCAGTTATTGCATTATATAATATATAGATAATGATTAATTAGTAGTATAGGAATTATTTAAAAACACAATGATAATACTGCTCCGTTAAAACTTTGTCACATGATAATATAATTTATAAATTGTTATTAATAATTGATCAAGAAATCTCTGCTGAGTGTTACCATGCAGGAAATTAGAATAAATACGCAAAATAAATGGCAAATTGGAAACTACACATCATAGTCGCAACAACCACCTTTGGAATGGGTAAAGTATGAATTTTATAAATTAATTAATATCTATATTGCATTAATTTGTTTTATTTTTATGTATATAAAGGGATTGATAAGCCTAATGTAAGATATGTGATTCACTATTCATTGCCAGGTTCTCTTGAGGGATATTATCAGGGAACAGGGATATTGGGAAGAAATGGGAATAATGCTACATGAATTCTTTTATGTGCATTTGGTGATTTTGATTTAATTAAAAAAGTTATAACGAAGAAAGATGGATCCCAAAAAGATCAAGAAAATATCAAATCTTATTTCAATGAAAAGATATTGTGAAGATAATATAAATTGTCACAGGAAACAATTGTTACATGTGATAATTGTTACAAACAATTGGACAAACAAACAATAATAGTGATAAAAGAGACATGGACACCAAAAAAGATCATATTTATTTGGAAGAAGAGGCAAAAAAAAGAATGAAGATATTATGAAAATCAATGGAACAAATTTCGATTACAAATAAAAGAGATTAAAGAACATATCCAGGAAGAATTGATATTAAAAACATCAAGGATGATAAAAATATTAAAAAAAAAATTAGATAAAAAATTTTATTACTAAAAATGTATGGGCACATATTACTTTACCAATAATCATTTTACCAACAGTTCATTTTACCAACAACTCGCAGTGCACCATTTTAGCATTTTATTAGTTGTTTGATTATGTGTAGGTTAAATATAACCCCGAGTTGTCAGTGAAATGAACTATCAGTAAAATGAATGCCTCCCAAAATGTACAGCATATATTGACTTATAAAATCTAATAAAATTAATCAAATAAATCATTCATTGTATTTAGTATATACAGTATGTGCTCATAATTTTTTCACCATGCTTTCATCTTCCCAATCATTCTTCATCTATCTATCTTATCTGCACTAGCAGAACTTTGAATGCTCAGAACTAAAAAAAGAAAAATTAACATAAATACTAGTGATGTTAATCAGTCCTTTTTGTACTGGACTTTTTTGTTACCTACTTATGGTAGACTGTTAACTACTTATCGTACGATTGGTTCGTATTTTTGTCGTACTTTGAGGTACGACGAGTTTGCATTTGCGTCATACTTTTAGGCTTGAAGAATTCGTGATTGTTTTTTCATTTGAGCCCATCTGAGGACCCATTCTGGGATTATGGAAGTATCCGCATTTGCGTCGTACTAGCAGTCCAATAAATTACTACAAAAACATATAAATAGAACCTCTACCCCCCACTTCTTGGCCAAAAAACCAATTCGTAAAAAATACACATTTTTTATATCGCTATAAACAATACATTTCCTAGACGAACTGCCAACTTTTTCGATTGCGAGGATGAGGCACGAAGTGCCGAATTGGCAATCTGTATTTTGGCTTTGTACGTTGCATTCGAATGCCGGGTTGAGGCACATAGTGCCGAAATAGTATTCGTAATCTGGTTTTGCGGGATGCATTCGAATACCGATCGAGGATGAGGCATGTAGTGCCAAATTGTTATCTCATTTGGTAGTACCCCAAAGCATAATTTTATAATATATATTTCTATAGTAATTTTACCTTGACGTGCTACCGCGAGTATACTATGTTTTGGGTCTCTGGAAGCCTTTCATGTATAGTTGGTGCTTTTGGGTACTACCGAATCAAAAATTTGTTTACCACTGGTAGTACATCAAAGTGTATATATCTTTCTGTAATTTTACCTTGGGTTACTACCAAAAGTATGCTATGTTTTTCGATCCTGGAACAGTTTCTCGCATAGTTAGTACTTTCGGGTACCACCTCTTCATGTCAAAAAAATAGTCTATGCTTTGACGTACTACCTTTGTGTATTACTGGATCGAAAATTTTGATTACTTTTGCGTACCAATTTTACGTATTACCATATCAAAAACTTTGAGATAACACTATTACTATATCAAAAACTTTGGGATATCATCATTTTTTAAAAAACGTGATGCACGCTATACCTAAAATTCCATTCCAATCAAAATCACCCGACACAAAAATCCCCCTATATACGGTTCAGGTATCAAGGTATTATTTTCTCGCAATTATTTTTCTGTGTCCAATATATGAAAAGTCTTCGAGGAACATTACAAATTTTTTTTAACAATAAATTTCTAGCTAATAGTTTTGATGCATGTAACCTTCCATATTTATCGATTTTTTCAATAAAAAGGGTTAATACGTTTATCGTTTGCCTCATATATCAAAATTTGTGTAATTTTTTATGTTAATAAAGTATCAACAAAGTAGATCTTCAGGTAAAAACGCGACTCAATTTTTAAATGAATTAATGAATTAATGGATTAAGGATTCAGAATTGGATTTGGAATTGAATTGGATTCAGAATTGGATTCGAAATTAATGAATTCTGTTTAGAACTAAAATATTTTTTTGGGAAGGAATTTTTTGTAAAATTTGGGTGTTGAATTGAAAACAAAAGCAATCGTTTTGTTGTAGTCATCAGGAAAATGGGTACACATATTATGCATATATAATACGCAATTGCAGGGATTAAGCATATAACATATGTACAATTTGCATACATAAAAAAATACACGATTTGTACGCATATTATATGCTTAATCCCTGCAATTGTGTATTATATACGCATAATATTTGTACCCATTTTCCTGATGTTATTGGTTCTTTTGCATAAGAATGATAATTTCCTGTAGTTGAGTGATAATATAATGCTAGAAATTGGACAAGATGGATTTTAGAATTAATTAGTGCAAAGGCAAATCCTCCTTTAATTGCTGGATATATTGATGAGATATTTGCAATGGTGATAGCTGGTATAGAAGGTGATTCTGCATTAAATTTAAAATTAGTAACATGTTTTTGAGAAAATTTTATGAGATTAAATATTCTTACCAGAACTATTTAAATTTAGTTGGTTCAATCCAATATCTTGAGTTATTTGATTTATATTGTCTAATCTCTTTCTAATTCCCCATCTTATTAAACGTGATTTTGGTTGATTGTCATTACTATTGAGATTGCTAACTGCTTGTGACACTAAACTACTTATTGTAGATGGATTTGTATTTGTACTTGAATTTTGGTTGGTTAATTGGATATTTGCTTTGATTCGCAACATATTTTTAGAAGTGTATGCTTTGTTTTGAGTACAATATTCTATTAAAGCTGAAAAATTAACACTTCCATCATTATTGGTTATTTCTATATCCTTCAATAATATATCTTCTGATCGAAAATTTTGATTACTTTTGCGTACCAATTTTACGTATTACCATATCAAAAACTTTGAGATAACACTATTACTATATCAAAAACTTTGGGATATCATCATTTTTTAAAAAACGTGATGCACGCTATACCTAAAATTCCATTCCAATCAAAATCACCCGACACAAAAATCCCCCTATATACGGTTCAGGTATCAAGGTATTATTTTCTCGCAATTATTTTTCTGTGTCCAATATATGAAAAGTCTTCGAGGAACATTACAAATTTTTTTTAACAATAAATTTCTAGCTAATAGTTTTGATGCATGTAACCTTCCATATTTATCGATTTTTTCAATAAAAAGGGTTAATACGTTTATCGTTTGCCTCATATATCAAAATTTGTGTAATTTTTTATGTTAATAAAGTATCAACAAAGTAGATCTTCAGGTAAAAACGCGACTCAATTTTTAAATGAATTAATGAATTAATGGATTAAGGATTCAGAATTGGATTTGGAATTGAATTGGATTCAGAATTGGATTCGAAATTAATGAATTCTGTTTAGAACTAAAATATTTTTTTGGGAAGGAATTTTTTGTAAAATTTGGGTGTTGAATTGAAAACAAAAAGTAATCGTTTTGTTGTAGAAAAATGTATTTGTAGATCAAATATGTAAAGGTTCACTTTATTTATTTATTTTCACTTTATGTAAAAAATTAATCAACTATAAAAATTCTCCTGCCAATATTTTTTTTAACTATACGTTATTATCTGAGAAATATTTTAATTATAGCATGCAGGTTGCAAAAAATCAATCTGTTTTTCATTTCTCTGAAGGTAAAAAACAAAAAATCAGTTGTTTTTTTTTTCATTCGCTGAAGGCAAAAATTTTTGTTTAAAAAAATTATTGTTACGCAAGCGGGAAATTAACAATTCTTCGAATTTCACATATTTTCATTTTCACGTACAACAGCACTAAGGCAAATAAATTTTTTTTCGTTACGCAAGTGGGAAAGATATTTATTACTAATAAAAAGAATTAAATTTATTTTCTTAATTTATTCTTTATTTACATTAACAAATGGCTTACACTGGTTTCTATTTTTTAAAAAATACGCAAGCTCATAAGTTAGGTAAAATAAAACAATAATAAAATATTTTTTTTTTTTAAAAAATAAAAAATAAAAATGCCTAGTCAGTTAACTGGTATTATTATTGCTAATAACTATAAAGAAAAATTTACTGAAAAATATAAAATTGTATCAGGTGAAGCAAAAGGAAAAGGTGAAGAGTTAGAAGAGTTTTTTTTATAATCTTTCAGCCAATTTTTCAAAAAATTAAAATTAACTACATTTTTTAATTATACATTATTATTTGAGGAAAATCTATTAATTATTAATTATTGCAAAAATCAATCACTTTTCACTGGAAGCAAAAAATTGTTTTCTTTTAAAAAAATAATTATTTGAGAAAAATTTTTTTAGTTCACTGTAAGCAAAAAATTGCTTTCTTCGTTTAAAAAAATTAATAATTCTCTATTAGTATCATTAAATCATAACAACAATTTCTGGAATGTTTTTACTCTCAAAACTATCTTTCACTATCATTAAACAATTTCTTGTACTAAACAATATCTTTTTTAGATTTTACATTACTGATCACGTTTCTTAGTGGGTGCCTTCCTTAGCTGTTATTCCATACTCAAGTCAGGTGCGTTCCCAAAACTACTAAATAAATTCATTAAATATCACCTCACAAAGAAAAGAAAAGAAATAAAAAAATGGACAAATATAAAATAAGAGAAAAAATGATTATGCATGGAATTTGGTATGGATTCATTGTTAGTGATAGATTTATTATCATTACGAAAATACAATATTCAAGTTAACAACAAGGACAAAGATAAGGACAATATTATTTATTATTCTTAATTTATCCTAATTAAATGTATTACTTGAACTTTCTGTGTATAATTATTTTCAAGTTATTTCTAAAGTGATCCAATAATTTAAATTCTTTTGTTTGAATTTAATCTGAGAATTAAAGGTCTTTTACATTAGAATATTTGTTTCTGTTGTCTGAGATATTTTCTGTGATTCAATTATTTTATTGGTGATTAAATAACAATATTAAAACCATTCAACTTTGCCAAAGGCCAGAAATTTTTCTTCAAATAGTAACCTTTATTTGAATAGAGACTTTAAAACAATAAATAACAAGTAACACCAGTGACGAAGTCACTGTCATAAAGCATTCATCTAGTTATTTTGAAATTTTGACCATGTAATTTTAAAATTCTAAATAAATTAATAACCTTATAAATCAGTCCCTAATAATTAAAAGCAAAATTTTTCTAACACAACCTTACAAGTAGTTATAAGCGACTTTGCAGTGAACACTTTGGCACAACTGTTGCTACTGAATTTGCTTTAGTCTGCATACTAGTTGAGCAATAACTTAAAATAAGTGTGAAGAAAAGAAACGCTTTCAACCTGGTGTAGAATAACCAATATTTAAGCTAGTCTTTTCTTTTAACTGTTTTTAAAAGCCCCAGTCTGGCTCTAAAAAATTTATTATGGTTGAAAATCGCTTGCTATATGAAAGATGGAGATTTTTTTATTGAAGTGGACAATAATAATTTTATTCGTGTAACGTTTATATTGAATGACACTTGATCTGCAATGTCCCACGTGACTACTATGCTCAAATCCTGCTATTATTGGCTACCTTTAATGCAACATGCGCGCCCGCACTCAATTTCACACACTGGATGTAACTTATTAATTTTCATTAAATTAACACATAAATCTTTTCAAATTATAATAAACACTTATTGTGTATAAACTATTTTATTTATTCACTTCCTATGTTATAATATAAACATTATAATTTGCATGAATCTTAAGCAACATAAAAATTATAACCAACAATAAAAATAAAGATAAATATAAGATGAAAGTAAAAAAAGTTAAAGAGATAAATGAAGTTATCAAAGAGCCTACAGCCTATTTACTCTATTTTTCTATTTAAAATAAAATCAACAGTTAATATGATTACAAAACAATTGACTGTAATAATGTTAAGTGATGAGAATACTTGCCTATTTATTATTTAAAATAAATTGAAATCAAACAGTTAATATTTTTCAAGAATAAAGTTGGCTGTAATAATAGTAAAACAATAAAAATACTTGCCTATTTATTATTTAAAATAAAATGAAAATCAATCAACAGTTAATATGTTTACAATAACAATGGTAATGGTAGTAAATAATAAAAATACTTACCTTTTATTTATATTTAAAATAAATGAAAATCAACAGTTAATATTTTTCAAGAATAATATTGGATGTAATAATAATGATGAGAATACTTGCACTCTATATTTATTATTTAAGCTAAAGCAAAAATCAACAGTTAATATTAAGATAAAACAAAAATCAACAGTTAATATTTTCAAAAAACAATGATATTGGCTGTAATAATAATGATGAAAATACTCACACTACCATTACACTATTTATTATTTAAAATAAAATGAAAATCAACAGTTAATAAACAATGATATTGACTGTAATAATAGTGAAATGATGAGAATATTTACCAGCTATTTATTATTTAAGATAAAACAAAAATCAACAGTTAATAAACAATGATATTGACTGTAATAATAGTGAAATGATGAAAATACTTACAGTCTATATTTATTATTTAAAATAAAACAAAAATCAACAGTTAATATTTTTTCAAAAAAAAAAATGATATTAATAGTGAAATGATGTGAATACTTACATCCTATATTTATTATTTAAGATAAAATGAAAATCAACAGTTAATATTTTCAGAAAAACAATGATATCAACTGTAGTAATAATAATGATGAGAATACTTACACACTATATTTATTATTTAAGATAAAACAAAAACCAATAGTTAATATTTTCAGAAAAACAATGATATTGACTGTAACAATAGTGAAATGATGAGAATACTTACGTTCTATATTTATTATTTAAAATAAAATGAAAGCCAACAGTTAATATGTTTTCAAAAACAATGATATTAATGGTGAAATGATGAGAATACTTACACTATTTATTATTTAAAATAAAATGAAAATCAATAATTAATATTTATTCAAAAATAATGATATTGACTATAATAAATAGTACAAAAATACTTACACGGCTATTTATTATTTAAAATCAAATGAAACCCAATAGTTAGTAATTTTTCAAAAACAATTATACAAATATAATGATATTATTGTAATAGTAAATATAATAATAAATGAAGTACATCTCTTCACCAAATTATTGTTATGAGTTGGGCTTGCTAAAGCCATGACAGCAAAGATAATCAAAAAGAGAAGAGAAATATTGAATTTCATTTTGATTTATTCAGATAATTTTTGTCAAGTTTTTCTTGATTTTCAAATTATATAGGATTACTGTAAGAGTATTTATAAAAAAAAAAATGAAAGCGAATTTTTGCTTTCAAATTGCATGCAGTTGTTATTGGAATTAGGATTTAAAGCTGATTTGTTGGTCGAAATACCCTAATTCCGAATCGAATCTTTTTATTTCTATTTATATTAATATCTTTATTTATTTATCCCTTATATTTCTTATTTAATTTCTTATAATAATAAACGTCATTTAATACTTTATATTAATATTTAGGGAATTGTTATTCGCACCCCACGCGATTAAGTGTAATAATGTGACGAATGAATGGCTTAGCCAAATAAATCGCTTAGCAAATGTCTTGATCAAATAAATCGTTGGTACTAATACTAAGCTTGCCGGTATTATTATTACTACTACTAACGTTATTATTATTATTATTATTATTTACTATTGTTATTATAATATCTCGCATTTAATGGTTCAAATTATTTGTTTTTTTTCATTATGAATTTGAGTATTCGAATTATATTGAAAGTTTTATTCGAATAAACGAATAAAAAAACGAATAATTCGAATAGAACGAATAATAATAATTCGAATTAAAATATGACTTTTATCCTGCTACGATATACATTTTGTATTTTGTATTTTGAGTAAATGTATGTTTTTTTTGTCATTCTAAGTGGATCCATCTCAACTAAATGTCTATGCCATTGAATTCTGCACTAAAATCCCAGACGTAAAATGAACGTCAAGAAAAATTTTTTTAGCCGGCTAAGCCGGCTAACATCACTATCTGTAACTTTAAATACTCGAGTTTGGAAAATGATGTAACTTACTTTTATTATTACGTGCTAAAGAAGGATTGGAACGGGCATTATTATTGTCAACTTTTAAATGATTTAAGTGTTAGTATATTAATATGCTTTTTAACGCAGTCTCGCCGTGTATATATATTCAAGATATTTTAAATGGACTTGCTTAATTCATGATTCAACGGAATTTTGAAGTTTTTTACTAAGCTCAAAGTTTTCATCAAAATCACGGGATTTTTTGTCTAGTTTAAAAGTTTTCATTAATTAACGAAAGAATATGATGAATTTAATTTAATGTGACGTATTAACTTTAAAAAGGTTGTAGAATTTGTTTAAAAAAAGGAATTTTTCGAAAAAAAGGAAATTTCAAATGATTGTGTTGTGTATAAATTAATTAATTAAGAATGGTTGACGAAATTGTACATGACGAAATTTATATTTATCGCCAAGGATCTTTTGAAGAAATCGACGAAATTAATTTAGCCAATCAATTCAGATATTTGTGATACTTGCTGATTGATTCCTATACATATATTGATTGTTTTATATAGTGCGAACATTCAGCCAATATATTAACATCATGCATCAACTTCAGACAAGGATAGAGATGGGAAAATTGCTGGTAGTACGTAATTACCATACAGCCGATTTATTTTTTGGCCTTCTTTCAAACCCTACACACATTTAAACTCGATAGGTCGGTCATTTTTTTATTTTAAGCAATTGATTGTTGCATCCGACTTAATGAGCTTACATGTATATCTTATTGTGTATGCGTAACTGGTCAGATTAACCCTAAAAAAATTTATTTACTCTACAAAAAAAAAAAAACTATTTTATTATTCAATAGCCCGTCAAATCAACGGCACTACCTCAAAACTAATGGATTATAAGGTATTCATAACGTTATGATCATGCCGTACTGAATTTTGAGGTTCAAACAAAATCGACGAATATGCCATAAGTACATTTTTTGAGAACCTAGGGTTTTAATGATTTTATACATGGTATTTTATATAACAATTCATTATGTAGTGTAATGTTGGATATTTACCATGGTGATTATTCTCATTTTTTTTTTTATCATGATGATAAGATAAAAGGTAATCATTTTTTTGGTGACACCACTATACTGTTATATATAAAATTCAATATTTGGCCATACCTTTGATCACTGGTTATGAAAATTTGGTTGTATAATTGGTCAACGTCAATTTCGTCACATTTCGTCAAATGCAACGAAATAATTCCTCGCCCTGCAAAGTATTTCGCCAATATTCTTAATATATATAGTTAAAGATAAGCGTTGCCAAAATTTTTTTTTAAAAAGATGAAAGTTCTATGAAAGAAAAGCTTAATCTGGCTATGAATTACATCCCTTCCGTCCCTTTGTTTTATATAATGATAGATAAACTTATGGTTTAACATTTTAATTAATTTATAAAAATAAATTTCTTAAAATAGAATTAAATGCCTTCTAAATTCGAGTAATAAATGAATATAAAATGAAGGAGTGTTAATTGATTGATCAAATTCATAATATTTTTTCGTTTAAAAAAAAAAAAAAAAAAACAAAAATAACTAATTAAAAAAAAAATATTTCATCCATTTTTTTTATTTGCGTGCTTCATTAAGACCATCCCCTCCATTGACAGTGTAATTAGTGAAGCGCCATATATAAAAACAAGCCCAACCGCGTTATTGAATGTTGATGTGAACATATTTGCTGAATAACGAATATTCGTTACAATTAGTCATTAAAAAACTTGCATATTCTCGGTTTTGACCATGCTCAATTAAAGGTCTCTAAAGCAGCATTAGAAGAATATAAAATATTGGAAAAAGTTAATACTGAAGTGAAGGGTTGCAAAATTTGATAAGGCGGTAAAATTTATTATGTGGAACAAATCAATCTTTTCTACATTTGTAATTTTTTTTAAAAAAAAAAAAAAAGTTTTAACAAGCAATTTAATATTAATATTTAGTTAATTGGCGTTTACTACTCCTCCTGCTGCGAAGAAAAACAATCCGTCGTTTTTGTTTTATTATTATTGCTTTGTTTATTATATATAATATTAAAATACTTACGATAAATTCGTGCACGTGCCGCTTCTCACTCATTGCGACGTTTAACTTAATCTTGTTATTATTATATATTTATATTGATATGTAAAAAAATTTTCTTTATTTAACAAAAAAAGATTTAACATTTGCCGTGTCACGATCTCCTTCCAAAACTCGCAAGTCGTGCGACTTCCGTGCAGTTTTCTCGCCGATTGTCTCCTTTTGCGTCTAGCCGCGCCTGGTCTTTTCGGTTTTTGGCGCGATCAACGTTTTCACCATATTTAGCAAAAAATTGTGTCGTACGGCAAATGGTTTGTTTTATAAATCAGGCAGGTTGCAATTGCATTGAAATTGAGTTGCGTTGAATTGAATTGCAAAGCAATGCGTTGCAATTGCAATTGAAACCGAAAAATCTTTGTTTTTTAAACTTAATTTTTTGCTTTCGTTGAGTGGTAATTTCAGAAAAAATTTTTTTTTTATTTTTTTTGAAAAAAAAATTTGATC